TCTTTCAGCCCAATTCTACTTTTTCTGCATAATCCATCATACAAAATGTAATCAAATGGAAAAGTCTCTTTTTAAAACTTGTTTTATTCGTTTTAATCTTTTAACTTCAAGGGCGTAGATTTGGCATGGACGGAAGGGACATGTCCCCACCAATATCCAGCGATTATTGAATTGTCCCCACCAATAATTTGATCTCTTCATGGACTTGGACTGATTTGAAGTATAAAAGAAATTCAAATAACCTTTGTTTTTGTTGTTTTTTCTTTCTTTGTTGAGATGAAAAAAGTAGAATCATTTAACATGTTTGTGGATTTGAAATGAGAGCTGGAGTTTGACCTGAACTGTCTTTGTCAGCAGCACACACACCAAGCGCTCGCCGTGTTGCTCACCTGGTTACGACGATGTTCTCATTAGCACATGGATGCAAGCTCTTTCTCTGATTCTTCTTCTCATTATCGTGATTTCAGTAACCACTTCATAATATTATTATTTCTTTATCCTGGTGTAAATGTCATGGAGGTTTATAGAGAAAGGCTCCAGCCAGATGGGGGATTCAAACCCAGGCAGCAGTGCTAACGTATTACATCATTACAGCTGAACATTATTTATTATTTATAGTAAATAAATAAAACTCAGAAGCATACCGTCTCAAAAGGTGACCAAAGGAGAGAAGAGAAAGAAGATTCAAATTACACTTATCACAACATCATCACGACACCTAACATAAAGAAATAAAGAGCAGGTCTGATTTTGTGCTTGTTATAACACTTTATTTGATTATTGTGAAAATGTTACTAAAAATGTGAAAATGTTACTAAATGTTGGGGGAAATTAAAAAGCTGAAAGACTGCTCGTCCTGTGGACCTCAGGGAAATGACACACACTATGTGCAGTGAGAAAACAGATCTTTTAGCACCCCCTGCTGGCAGATACGTGCATGTGCAGAGTGAGACCTGCAAACATAAACGTGTTTCCTGTGGATAAACTAAGAGCAGTGACTGACCAACAAACAGCTGCTGACAGCTGCTGACAGCTGCAGCCTCGTGTGTCACGACTGTAAGAGAAGCGTAGTTTTGGATCTCGGTGTCGCCGTGCCGGCTTCTTTTATGAACCGCAGAGATGCAGCTTAAACTCTGACTATATGGTTGGATGCATCGGTGATGAGCAGCTGGAGGAGTACGGAGCACTAGTGGATGATTCTCTGGAGCGGTGTGGAGCAGCCGCAGACCTTTCGTTAATTTTACACCATCAGAGGAATTGTGACACCTGCCTGTTTTACACACCTGAAAGACTTCAGCCTGTAGTTGTAGATTGAGAGTCGAGACAAGTGTCAGGAGTGAGTGAGCGTGATGGAGTCAGAGAGGCTGAGATGGTCTGAGCATGTGCAGAGGAAGGAGGGGGGATGATGAAGATGGAACTGCCAGGCAGGAGGAGAAGAGGAAGACCTGAGAGTGTAGTGAAGGAGGACATGCAGAGGGTCGGTGTGACAGAGGAGGATGCTGGGATAGGAGGAGGTGGAGGCAGATGATCTGCTGTGGTGACCTCTAAAGGGAGCAGATGGAAGGAGAAGAAGAAGAGTGAGGAGGAATCATCTCTACTGCTACAGCTGACAGAGAGATGACTGACTTCAGAAGGAAGAGGACGACCTGCGACAGGACGTGGATCTGTTGGAAGAGCTGGAGCACCTGGGCGTCCACGTGACACAGCAAGAAGTTTATTTTACTCTCAGTTTCTTTAATATTTAACGCTGTCATTTACTTATTAAAATTGAATTGGGATGAAGGGTTTTACGCTCACAGCCGTCACAGATCATTAATCTGGAGATGAAGCAGCTTAAACAGGTGAGCGGCACAGAGACAGATAACTCCTCCCCCGCTGCTGTTGTTCAAAGCTAATGTTAATTTGGGATAGATGACAAAAACTAAAACAGCCATGCATTTTTATTATTTCAGAAAACGTGTGGCAGCGGCTCGATGGAGAAGTTGGCAGCAACCCAACAATGCAACAGCAGACTCCATCACTGAGGTCCAGCGCTACTTAGTGGAGAGAAACATTCCAAGATCAGAGGATCTTTGACGTACTGAGGGAATAGGAAGACATCTCATCCGAACCTTTCCCACCTGGCTTTACAGTTTTTGTACCCCAGCTTCATCTGTGCCTGTGAGCGTGTTTTCCAAAGCTGAGGAAATGGTGTCAAAAAATGCAATAGGCTGAATGCAAAAACATTGGATAAACTTATTTTTCTGAATAGAAATTTATAATAAACTCTGAGTCAATTACATTTAAATGGGTAATATTACATTTACAATACTTTCATTCTAATTTTCACTTAATGTCATTCGCAACATATTTTAAGATGTCTACAATATTTGAAATGTAAAAGATATAAAATGATTCCATGGAAAGTACCTTACAGCGTGTAAAAGTATGACTAGGTCATTGAATCAGTGTCTGTGAGCCTGCAATGATGTTTAAGGTCCAGCAGGTGTCAGTATGGAGCAAAACAGCAACATTGTCGACTCAGTATGGATAAGTTTGGGGAATAGACGAGTCTACTTTAAGCAGCTGTGCAGTTACAGAAATAAAGCAGCGAAGCAGCATATCTTTAGTATTTTACACATTAAACATGTCCACAGATTTGTGTTCGCCACCTCGGAGCTCAAATCTGCTGCAAACTGTAGTAAAAGCACCCACACATGACAGGCTTATCAACTGCAGAAATTTTATTGAACCAAATGTGGAACTTGCAAAACACTCCATCACAGTAGCACAGTGCGACCTGGCCATGGCTTTGTGTTCGTTTTAAACCATTGTTATTTCAGCATCACTACATCTGAACTTGTTTATAAATTATTGCATTGCAGGAAATTAATAGATTCAAGTGTCCATAAACCACAGGCTCAGTACCAAATTTGCTGTGGGGCTGAACCAGAAAGCTGGTTGAGGACCAGAGCAGGAAACCCTCACTAATGAACCCCAAAAGAAATGAAACCAGCGTTGACTAAATTTCCCACCCTGGTGTAACTTTGCCATCTGATCACAGTGAACAGACTCCACCTTCCTTACAGGCCTCGCGTCGGTCAAAGTGTGATACTTGGATTGGCAAAGAGAAGAAAACGCACCCAACAAGAAGCCCAAATCTGCTGGATGGTGGTGAAGATGGTCACTTAAATGCTCTCCACTCAGATGGATGTAAACAATGGCAACTTATGAGGCAGGACGAGAGGAGGTAAAGATCTGGAGCTGGCCAACTACAGAAACCCCTTTCTGCTTTTAACAGACATCCTCAGCACCTCCTCCGACCTGCTAACACTGGGACCCTCCTGCACACCCAGCCCCCACCCCGTTCCCCATGACACCACTCGACTCCAAAATATGGAGACTCATCGTTTTATTGAAACACCTTAAGAGTACAAAACAAAAACGTTACATGAGACTGTGCCTCCGTACTGTGGCACGAGACCTAAAAGAAAAAATTTAAAAGGAAATAAACAAAAGGGACGAGGAGGTGGAAGTGTGTGGGAGGGTCATCACCACTCATCCCTGATGTTGTGTGGAGCTGCAGTGGTGTGTCTTTGTGAGAGCGAGCCTGCCCCCTGGTGTTGTAGGGGGGCGGTGGTGTTACAGAGTCCCATGTTTGTTTCAGAGGTAATTCACGTGTTAGCTAACAGGAGCTGGTGGGATTGCAAAGAGGGGAGGGGGGAGGAAGAGCAACAGCAGCACATAGGAGGGGGTAGAGATGTAGCGGGGTGGGGAGTTTAATGGCCTTTGAGGAGAGGGGGGGTGGGTCGAGAGCAGCTCCTAGAAGCCGTGGACTTTGAGCTGCTCCTCCTTGGCCAAGTCGATCTACAGAAGACAAACAAAGGGATCCAATTACACTCGGAAACTTTGAAAACAAACATCAGGGGCAACATCTGGACGAACACCTACCTCAATGAGGAACTGGCAGATATTCTTGCGCTGGTCTCCCTGCAGCTGGATCACTTCACCATACTCTGGGTGCTCAATCACTGTCCCATTGCAGGCAAATTTCTGTGGAGACAAAAACACGTCAATCAGCAAAAACGCTGCAGCAGCAACAACCAGAACCACCTCCAAACTCAGAACAAAGCAGCGCTGTGGCTGTACCTTCTTGAAGGCCTTGACTAGCTTCTTCTTGTCATAGTCGGCAGAGATGCCCTGGACAGTGGTGAGGGTCTTCCTCCCGTTCCGCTGTTGGATTCTTATGTGGATGTAGTCCTCTGTCCCGGCTGGGAGGCGGTCATCACCCTTAGTTGCATCAGCAAAGGGGTCTGGAAACAGCAGAACACAATGGAATTATGAGCACATAAGGCTGCCAGCTCACCCGGCTTGTCTGACAATAATGTCTCACTGATTTACATACAGATTGGCTGTCCTGCTGCCAAATCCTGCCCGTGTTTACCACTGGGGGGTCATATTTCAAATGAAGAGTTGCACAGATGCAGCAGGTTAGCAAGCTTTTAACCATTGCCAAATAACAGCAGAGTCATGGCAGGGTGACTTCAGCGGCACCACCGAGCCCGCGGTATATCACACCCGAGACATTTAGCCGATATTTGAACGCCACAGTAAATAAACTCAAGAAGAAAAAAGGCGGCAAAGGTTTGTAAGAAAACAAATATGTAGCTCGAAGCGGCTTTTGGGCCTAATGGCGGCCGTTTTGACGTTAGCAAGGCCGCTAAACAGCGTTTTTCCACAAAGTTAACACATCCGGGCAGACATTTCCCATTTATTTTCTCCAGTTTCACGCTTTATTTTGATCGAATTAGTTACGTAAAAAGCAAGTAAATGAAACTACGCCACAGGAAATAAGCCTCGGCCCCAAGCTGAAGCTGGACGTTAGCCCCGTTAGCGCTCGCCCTTCCCCCACCCTCTGCGACTGCTCTCTTCGATCAAAAACCACTCACCAAAAGTTTGGAGGTTCTGGATAGCGGACATACGATAAGATTTGCTTTCCTTTCGGATAATAACTTGGTCAGCTAGCGGTCCGTCGGCTGCTTTAGACTCTTTTGTTCGTGTCTTCTGGGGTTCTTGGGGACGACACACGGCTCGGCCTCGGCAGCTTTCACAAAATGGAGATCGCGTAAGGTTGGCAGTGCTGGAAAACAAGTCTTTATAGCTCCGCCCCGAAACTGGCGTCAGCACGTCTTTGACGTAAGAGCGGCACGTCGCAGGCAGCCACGCCCAGAACTCTTTCTCAACTTTACCGGAAGGGTGACGTCATGTCGTTAGACTTGAGTCAAGTTGGCAACTGGAAAATTACAAATAAACATATAATTATATTTAAAAACGTATAGACACAGACACACACACAAATATATATAATTCAAAAGTGGACATTGGTTGTACACAGATGTTTTGCTTTGGCAGCAACTTAAACAATTGAGTTAAATTAACTCACTTAACTTTAAAACATGAGGCAGTTGTGTTGAATACACCCAAGGTGCTTATATAAATCCAAGAGATGGCCAGTCTCTTTTTTCAGTTTAGCTTAATAAATAAAATGATTTTTTACAGTTTTGAGTTCTAAAAACTTTAATATTTCTCTCATATTTGTTGTGACTTTGTCGATTTCATTTAATCAGAAATGTTTTTCCTTTGTTTTGTATCTTGTTGTCATAGTTAATAAATAGAATTACATTTCTTAGATTATTTCAAGTTTTAGTGTCTTTATCGTTCATTCATTAAAATTCTGATTATAATTTGTTCATTTAAAAATAAAATAAATAAATAAAGGATAACATAAGGTGCACTTAACTGATCTAAGAGCTGGGAAATCTACTCGACACAGGGGTGGGAAGTGAACTTAAACAAAACCTACATCAGCTCGCTCTCGTTTGGTTGGTTGTAACATTCGTATATGTTGTTTCTTTCACTCCGTCCATTGTTGTCTTTTTCTGTATGACTGGATAAATCCAACGACTGTGTCTCCCTCCTCACAGTGTCCCGGCGCATTTCTATCTCCTACTGAGCTCTGGTCCTGTTTGATCCTGACTTTTATCAAATGCATGTTTTAAGTTCCTCCTGCGTTCTGTATGTTGCACTTGGGTCATTTCACATGACATCGTCTTTTTAATGAGTGGAACTTCCGGTGAAAGGTAAATAATAAACTAAATAAACAATTAAACCATAATCATACATGTTTGTTTCCACAGTCTCTCTGTTCACCGTTCAGACACTGATCAGGTTAAAGTGCTGATGAAATCTTGTGACTTCTTATCTACGAGTCACATGATCAGACACGCCCCCACTGAAACAAAACACCTTTAAGACCTTATAAAAAAAACTGCTTCACAATCAAACTTACTGAGTACATTCTTTTACTGACGATGAATGAGTCAGCAGGTGATTGTGCTGGATTGTTTCATTGAATCAGAATCAGAAGATTTTATTAATCCCCAAGGAAATTACGTAAATTGGTGGCATTTAAATTGTAAACTTTTTTGGACTTCATGGCTTCACTTTGCAGGGTTGATAGACCTCGTTACACCACAGCTGCTTCCTGTACTGTGGATGAGCCGATCAAGTCATTCTTAATGCGCAGATTGTGTTTATTGAGAAGAAAGCAGCACTCTGAATGTTCTCTGTTCGAGGTTCATTGGATTCTCAGCTATTCAAGTTTGTGAATTTGTGAATGTAATACTTTGACCCTCCTTCCATACTTTTTCTCTTGTTTTACTTAAACTGCACTGAAATTCAAATGTTATTTTTTACAAAGCCAAAAAGGAGAAGATATCTAAAAGTTAGTAACCCGCCTTCATGGGCGTCATCTTTAAGAGCTCAGAGTCTTTTCTAGTCCTTGTTCATTAACTTTCAGGCATCTTTGCTGATCCCTCCTCTCTCACAGACTGTTTAATGTCTTCCTACAGATTTCCTACAACAGTTTCAGCCTGTGTTTCCTGCTGAAGCTCAGTGGATGGATCAGCTTCAGATTCCTGTTGTGGAGGCTGTTTTTCTCCATCTTCATTCTTCCCTTTTTCTGTGTGATGTTTGTTGTGCCAAGAAACCCAGAAGCAGAACATTTCACCCTTCATGCTGAAGCACCGTGGTGAGAGAAGCCAAACAGCTGATTGGTTAAGTTTATATCACTGTGGAGTCACATGTTAGCAAATTCAGGCACTTTCCCAACATTATCCCATAAAATACAAAAACAGCACAATTCACTTCAATTTCTTTATTGTCCCACAAGGGGAAATTAGTTTAGCAGCAGGATAAAAAAAACAGAATAATACTATAAAATAATATTAACAATAATAATAATAGAAAATCCTAGGACAATTATTTGCCATTAAAGAGACAAGACGCAGTAGGGATAAAAGAGACCTGGAGTCTTTTAGTCCTCACAGGAACTCTAAAACAGCAGCCGGAAGGCAACAACTCAAACTCACTGTGAAGTGGATGGTTCACACAGTTAATAATAGAATGAGTCTTTCTAAGCACATTTCTATTGTAAATGGCCAAAAGTCCATCTTGCCAGCGCCCTGAAATTTTGCTAGCAGTTTTTAC